TGTGCTGTTTCAGATGTCTCAGCACCTCTTCTAATCTCTCTCTCTGATTTTCTGCAGCCGGTGGCCTGCTTTGCTTCCCACCTTCTGCATTCTGCGGCTAACCTCTCTCCATCTTCCCTTTCCAGTCATCTAGTCTCCTTCCCCAGTCGTCCTCCCTTTTTTTGAGCTCTACGCGCCCATTCCTCCTCCCCCTCCCAGATCGTCCTTGGAGCCCCTTGTCCTCTACCTGTGTATATGTGTGTGTGTGTGTGTGTGGTGTGTGTGGGGTTTTATTAAGCATCCTTTTTTCCCCCTCGTTGTACTAAAATGTTTTGCATATGACCCAATCTCTTGTTCCCACTGTACATCTTGTCCTAAATTTACGTTAAATTTCCCGTATGCTAGGTTTCGCTAGGCTACCTCTCATACTGGGCTATCTTCATTAACTGTTTAACTCTCCAAAACCCAAAAAATTTCCCTTTTAAATGCCAGTAAATGCGCTTATTCTAATTATTAGCTCGGGGGAGAGTGCCCCCCAAAATTTCCAGCAGAGACTGGGGGCCCCCATGCAACTCAAACTAGGTGAATTTTTACTGCGGCTGGGCATGGAGTAATTTTTGTCTCCTCCTGGTCCCAGTGTAAAATGCTTGTCCCTTCCGGAATTTTTTCCACTAACTTCCTGTAACATGGGTCTCAGCTCATCTAATTTTTCACTCATCACTGTATTTACGACACATCTAACATATATCTTTCTCCCGGTCTTGAGTCGCACTAATTCTTCAAAATACCCCACTCGTTTTTAGGGCAACACCTTTGGGCCCTGAAACAACCTTTCACCCTTTCCCAAAGGGGCCCCCACAAACACTTAGTCATATTTTTTGGTTTTTTCTTTTCTGTGATCCTTATATTTCCTTTTTTCGGGCTTAATATTATATCACTCTTATGCGTGCACACCCATACCCACACTCTTTTCCTTATGGCACAGTCAGAAAATTACCACCAAAACACAAGCTAAAAACCGGTGACTCCTCCACAGTTTTGTGTGTGTGGTGTGTTTTGGTGTGTGTGTGGGGTTATGTGTGTGGTAGTGTGTGTGTTTGTGTGTGTGTGTGTGTGTGGGTGGTTGTGTATTGTTGTGGTGTGTGTGTGTGGTGTACTCACCAGTTACTCACCTGTTGGGGTTGGGGGGTCGAGTCCGACTCCGGGCCCCCGCCTCTTCACTGATCCCCTACTAGGTCACTCCCCTGAGCCGGACTTATCATACCTCTGCTTAAAGCTATGTATGGATCCGCCTCCACTACATCGCTTCCCAAACATTCACTTCTGACACTCTGGACTGAAAAAACTTCCAACATCCTGTGATTCACGTGTCTTCAGCTCCAACTTGTCCCCTTGTTACTGTGTCCAATCCTGGAACTCCGTCTTTGTCCCCCCTTTCAATTCCCCCATATTTTGTGCGTTATCATGTCCCCCCTACTCTCCTTCCCCATGTCGTCATTTGTTTCCCCCTTTAAACCCCTCCCCGTAGGACTACCTCTTAGCTCTGGGACATCTTGTTGCAAACCTTTTCACTTTTTCAGTTTCTTCACGTTTTAAAAGGGGGGGGGGTGGGGGGTGTTGTGTTTTGGGGTGTGTGTGTGTGTGTGTGTGTGGGTGTGTGTGTGTGTGTGTTTTTGGTGTGTGTGTTGTGTGGTGTGTGTGGGTTTTGGTGTGTGTGTTTTTTTTTTCATTTTCACAGCAGCTGATCATATAATATCAAATAATTCCACTTTTACGCCTTTTAAACCAAAATCAATTGTTCAGTAACTTATAGACTTTGGGGCAAACTTAACACGTGGATAACTGTTTAAAATTTCCGGAATTTTAAAAAATGGCCCTTTTACAAGACAGACTTAATTGATTTGGGGTAAGATAAATAGATAATAGGGTTTTAGATAGATATAGAAATAAAGAAGCTGAAATTAGATTAGATTATTAGAACAAAAACCTGAAAGTGTCACGAACGAAACTTAGCTGTCGGTGGGGGGACTTGACGTACTAGCATGGGCCAGCAGGCCTACTCCATTCTCTTCCCTTTTTTATGTTCTTCAATTGGGGTAACTATACTCTCGCCCACCTGAATCGAACCAAGGTTTTCCGGTTTGTGATCCTCATCCATTTTAAATAACATGTCCCCCAGTAAACATTTACTCCATCTGTTATATAATTTTAATTTTTTCTATAATGCAATTTATAAAGGTACAAACAGGAAATTTTCAGCGTAAAATACTCTCAAAGTCAATTAAAAAAAATTAAAATTAATTAAAACAAATTTGCACATTGTTGACTCTCTTATAAAAAAAATTGTCCTAACATATTGGCTTTAAAATACAATTTTCTCAGTCAAATTTCTAAGGAATTAAAAAGATACCACTGAAAGTATTTAAGGAAAATAAAAAAGTAAACATTAATCATGTAAGGAATTATAGAAGTATACCCCTGAATTATTTAATTAGTATATAATGAAGGAAATTGAGACACTTTAGATATTGGAAATCTTTTATTAAAGGAAAAGTTTCGCCAAAGTGGGTTATCAGTCCATACCAAAGGGAACTAAGGAAAGGAAATGGGTAACATCCCTCAACCTGGAGGAGGTTAGGGCTCAATCTTGAGAAAAGTGAGGACTGAAAACCCTCGACTCCAGGGGTTTAGGGACTGATTACCTCATTCTCCTCCTCTCCTACGCTTCCCCTTTTATTTGGGCGATGAAGCCACTGTGTGGCGAAACGTTTCCTGAATAAAGATTTCCATATGCTGCATAAGTGTCTCAATCTTCAACTTGTCGGTTTTTCAAACCATTCTCACATAGTATATAATGTATACTACTGAATCTACTGCTGAATAAACTGTTAGTTTTGTTATTAAATTTTACCTAAGCTTATTTGAACACGAGTTTTATCTACCTTGCAGCCAACAACAGTCAACAACAACAGTAAATAAATTCTTAAAAAAGGAAAAGAACTTAAATATCCCATTTGCGAAGCTCTGTTTCAGAATTAGGGCTGACATTTTTATTAATATACACAAGTAATACAGACCTATTGGTGTAAATTATTATTATTATTATTATTATTATTATTATTATTATTATTATTTTTTATTATTATATTATTATTAAATTTTAATTATTATTTATTATAATTATTATTATTTATTATTAATTTAATTTTAATATTATTATTATATTATTATTATTATTATTTTATTATTTTATTTTTATTATTATTAAAATTATTTATTATTATTATTATTATTATTATTATTATTATTATTATTTTATTATTATTATTATTATTATTATTATATTATTATTAATTTTAATTTATTTGTTTTGTTTTATTAATTTTTATTGAATTAAATTAAAATTAAAAATTTTTTAATATTTTTAAAAATTTTTATTTTAATATAATAGTTTAATTTTTAATTAAGATATTAAAAATTATTAAAAAAAAGTAGAGGTTGTTATTAAAAATATACTGAGAGCTCTAATAACACTAGGGAAAATAGAAAATTTGAAAAGGGTTAATCAGAATGACCAAAGAGGGAAAATCAATATTAATGGCTTGGGATACACCACTTAGGGTCCTTCAGCAAATCTCCCAAGAGGAAAAACCAAAGGGGGGCTAAATATATAACTTCAATACTCAAAAAAAACCCCCCCGGAAAACAAAAATAAAAAA